ATTACAGGCATGCGCCACCACACCCAGCTTTAAATTTTAAATATCTTTTATTCCTTTACTTACTATTTTTGTTTCTACTGAATGATTTTTCTCCTGGTTTTGGGTCACATTTTCTTTTTTTCTTTTTTTTTAGTCTTTTTAAGACAGGGTCTTGCTACGCAGTCCAGGCTGGCCTTGAGCTTACTTTGTAGCCAAGGCTAGTCTTGAACTCGTGACGATCCTCCTGCCTCTGCCTCCCAAGTGCTGAGATTACAGATGTGCACCAACATGCCCTGCTCACTTTTTGTTTTTTGAGATGGCCTCACTATGCAGTTCAGGCTGGCCTTGAACTCATGGCAACCTTCCAGCCTCAACCTTTTCCAAGTGCTGGGATTACAGGGATTGCCACCATGCCCAGCTCACATTTTCTTACCTTTTGGCAAAACCTGTAATTTTTCTTTGGTTACTGGACATTGCAATTTTATGTTGTTGAGTGCATGGATGTTGTTTTCTTTTAAAGAGTGCCAAGGTTTATTCTAGGAGGCAGCTGAGTCACTTGCAATTTGTATGATATTTTTATTTTAAATAGTTATTGGTTTGGTCTTTTTCCTTGCCTTTTTGTTTTTCTTTTCCTCTTCCTCCTCCTCTTCTTGGCACTTCATTTGGACCCAGGGCCTTTGCAGCAAGCTATATCCCTGCAGCCCTTTGAAACAGGCTCCGTTTGAATTTGAACTTGTGATCCTCCTGCCTCAGCCTCCCAGAGTGCTAGGATTATTGGTATGTGCCACCATGCCTGGTTAAGTGTATTCAATGCTTGGCTGGGCATGGTGGCACACACCTGTAATCGCAGCACTCAGGAGGCTGAGGCAGGAGGATTACTGTGCATTGCTGGCCAGTCTGGGCTACATAGTGGGTTCAAGGCCAGCCTCAACTACATAGCAAGACTGAGTCTCCAAAAACAAAAGAAAACACAACAAGATTACAATTTTTACTTTCTTTCATTTGCATTTGCATTGTGCCACAGTTAGTATTTGCAAATTCTACACCAGACAAGCTCCCACTCAGAATACCATCCTTTTCCTGCAGCTTGCCTTTCTGGGTGAAGGAGAAGGCCAACCATCTGAAGAATGAGATAAGGGAAGTCGAGGAGCTGGATAACTGGCAGCCAGCAGCGCCCTTAGTGCGGGGTTTATTTCCTTCTGGTGCGTCAAAGAACCTTCAAAAAATAATATGAACGCTAGCGGCATCCGGAAGAGCAGGATTTTGAGAGGCTTTACCTGGAGATGTGACCTCTGCCTTGAGTGGTCCCCAGGGCAGATGTGGTGGCTGTTCATTCACAGTCATGTGTACTGGCTGGTGACAGTCATGCGGGAGATGCCACCTCTAACCCCGTCCCTCTATCTGCAGGTGTGGACCTTCCCAGGCAAACCTGAGCAGACTTGCTGCCTCACCGTGGTGAGCCTCTTCCAGTGGCTGGGGCTGACCATGTAACCATTCTTAAATAAATATTGAAAGAATCACTGGTCTTGATCTTGTTTAATTTTAGGTTTTGAAAACTTATAGAAAAGTTGCAAGAATCATACAACAAATGCCTGCATGTCCTTCACCGAGATTCTACAGTTGTTAGTGTCTGTCTACATTCCCCCCACCACTTATTATTATTGCTTTGTGCATCCCTTTTGAGTGGCAGATATCATACTGCTCAATACCTCTGTACTGACATAGCCTCAGCCTGTTTCTCCTAAGCTCAGGTGTATTCTCCAACAACCACACACAAAGTTTAACATTAATGCAATCCCACTAATTCACAGACCACAGTCTGTTTTATTCACATATTTTATTTTCTCAGATCCTTTTATTATATATATTCTTAAAAATTATTGATTGATTGATTGATTGATTGAGACAGGGTCTTGCTATCTAGTGCAGGCTGGCCTTGAACTTGCTTAGGTAGCCTAGGTTTGCCTCGAACTCATGGTGATCCTCCTGCCTCAGCCTCCCGAGTGCTGGGATTACAGGCATATGCCACCATACCTGGCCCAGATGCCTTTAAATCAATGGTAAAACAAGACATTGTGTGAGCATATTAGCCTTCTCATTCTGCTGTAATAGAACCCCATAAACAGGGTCGCTAACAGACAAGAAGAATTCATTTCCTAGTTTTGGAGGCTGGGAGGTCCAAACTCAAGGTGCTAGCAGTTCAGTATGTGGTAAGGTCTGCCGTCTGGTCCACAGTGCCTTCTCCTGTGTCCTACAGTGGAGAGGATAAGTAGCTTTTGCAGGTCTCTTTTACGAGGGCACTGACTGCATGGCCTCCCCTCCTACTACCATCACCTTAGGGTTAGATTTGTCAGCATACAAGTTTTGGAGCACATAGACATTCAGACCATAGCAGTGAGCTTTCATTATTTTTGGATACAAGTATTTTTATTTTATTAATTGACTGACTGGTACCGGGAATTAAGCCAACAGCAGGTATTAAACATTTAACCACTAATGATTCACATTTCCAGTAGGAGGGATGCAGTTTGGTTAGACCGTTTCTTTTGCTCTTAGCAATGTGGCCCTCGAAAGCTAGGCAGGTGAAACACTGCTTACAGAACTTGATTTAGTGAAATAGTTTAGACCTGGAGCCATGCTCAGACTCATGTGTGGGAACCCAGAGATACTTTTCTCTTCTGCTTAGAAAATCAAGCGGAGGCATCTGGGTATAGAAACGCTTCTGCCAGGACTGAGGACTGTCCCAGATTTAGGGTGATGTACTTGTGAGGGTGCTTAGGAAAAGTGGTAGGAGCCCACTGGGATAACTGGTATCCTCTCAGTAGTGCACTCCAGGAGGACTTAGGCCTGAACCCACCCTGAGGAGTGGGGAGTCCCCTGCTGTCTTGAGAGCCAACTTTGAGGCGCCTCACCCTGGACGTTGTACAGAATACTCAGATGAAAAGTCTTTCTGAGTGTGCGCAGAGGAGCCTAGCCTCATATCAAATAGGCAGCTGCATTAGTGAGGGTTCTCTAGAGAACAGATTCAGTAAAATATATATATACATGATTATACAAGGGAGTGATGAGGTGGCCTCACAGGGTCAGAAGGAGTAGTCCCGCTGGCTGTCTGCCGGACCAGTGGTAGAAGAATCTAAAATGACTGTCTGCATACTGGAAAAATGAAGGATCCAGTAGTAGTCAAAGGTTCCAGTAGCAGTTGAAGGTTTCCTGGGAGGTCAGTGTTGGAGGACTTGGCTTTCATGAGCCTGTGACACACACAGGTGGCGCTGTCGAGGCTGTCACTGGGCATATGCATCTGAGGTCTGGACTTTATGCATGAAGTCTCCTGAGAAATGTGCTAGGTGGATGGTGTGGGGTCTAGATTTAGAGTCCTGGATTGGAATATTAATCTCAAACAGAACAAATGTGATCAAGATGACCCTTTGAGCCTCTGAGGTCTGAGGGAGACTTCCCCACTACAGCGGCGGGGGGAACCCCTAGAAATGGCACCCACAGAGCAGAGCTCTGAGAAAAAAATTACAAACTACAACTGGATCAAGGAGGTGTCTGTAGTTGAAACCCAAGTCGATGTAAGTGTTTAGCAATAGGATACAGATGACCAGGGCTGGGGCACAGGGAGTTCCATTTGGTGGTCATTTAATGCCAGGGCTTCAACTTTTGTCAATGCTGCTAACGGATTTCTATACCGGAAGGAGGGCTGATGGAGACATTGGGGGAGACAAGCCCTGCCCCCAACCACACTTTCGTGTTGCTAGTGGATTTTGCCCCTAATTTTAGCCCTTTCCTGTACAGTTTCTTGGAGGTTAAAAAAAAATGGGTAAGACTTCGAATCCTCAGGGAAGCAGTCGTATCACTGCTGAGGTGATGGAGCACTTCGATCTAGCACCTGTGGACCCCGGCAGCTGTGAAGCTATGGAGTGGCTGGAGGAAGCCATCATCTTTGCTGACCGCCTGTGTGCAGCGGACACCGACGGAGTGCAGCCCAGAGAGTGCAGCCCATCTGTCTGTACTGGAGGACAGATGTCTGTGCTTGAGATCTGACAGTGCAGCAGGAGGCAACTGTGCTGCAGAACTACTACAAAACTCCCATCACGTTGTGGAGGAGTATTTTGTGCCCCCTCCCCCTGTAATATCTCTTTACTGAAGCTGAACCAATAAGACCTTTTCCTACACTGCTGAGTAGCTGTTCTGGGAAAAGGGTACCCTGTGCACACATGGAAGCACCACGCTGGCGTTTTAATGTAAACCCTAGCACTCCCACTTTCTTCAGTCACCTGAAAAAAAATGGATGCTCAAGCATATCTCAGTAACTGACTTCCTTTTTTTTTGAGATAGGGTCTTGCTATGCAGTTCAGGCTGGCCTTGAGCTCACTGGGTAGCCCAGGCTGGTCTCAAACTTGCAACGATCCTCCTGCCTCAGCCTCCCAAGTGCTGGGATTACAGGTGTGTGCCACCACACCTGGTTAGTAACGGACTTCCAAAGACAGAATTGGCATACTCTAGCCAAAACATTATCTTCCTGTACCCCACCTAAAGACTGTCTACCGAATTTTATGTAAAAAAAACAAGAGCTAAGAAGGAAACCAGAACTTTCAATGTTTTCCTCAGCAGAGGAAATGTCAATCCAGTCAGAACCTGCTCCCCAGAAAGGATGAGGGGGTGGGAAGGCAGTTGAAGATGCAGCCTAAAAATCCCTTGCTAAGTGGGATAGATCTCGACCTCTTTTTCCTAAGCCAGTTTTTCCAAGTTGTACTTCTTTTGTTTTTGTTTCAAACTGTGTTTCTTGAATATTGATAGGTATTATAAAACAAGATTTTTAGGATAAGACTAGTCTGGGAGGGCTTCAAAACATATACAGTTGCCACAATAAAATGAGTGGCTTAAAAAGAAAGAGAAATGTTTTCTTTCACTGTCACTGAGGCCAGGAGTTTGGAATCACATGTCAGGACGGCTGGATCCGTGGAGGCTCAGAGAAAGAAAGAATAGATCCCCTGCCTCTCAGCCTCCTGGGGTTGTCCACAGCCTTGATGTTCCTGGGCTTGGCACCAGCACCGATCTCCATCTCCACCTTTACACGCTGTCTCCCTGTGTGTCCAGATCACTTCTCTTCTTGTAAGGACACTGCCATTGGATTTAGGATCAGCCCCAGTCCAGTATGACCTCATCGTGATTACATTTGCAAAGACTACACAGAATTTCCAAATAAATTCCTACTTATAGGTACCAGGAGTTAGGACTTCAACATATTTATCTGGCGACACACTTTAACCCACAACAGGAAGAAACAGATTTATCTTATGACTTCTCACAGACTTTAAGTTTGGTGACCACAAAAAGGGAGAACAGAGCATGCTGCTTTTTTGAAATTCAAGTAATCAAGAAAATCCTGACATGAAAATTTTTGATAGGGTCTCCCAGGCAACTAGTGTCCCAAGGGGTTAGTTTGGGAAACAGTGTCTAGGGTGACTAAGACGTGAGCCTCTTTCTCATGAGGCCTCTGTTCAGCAGTAGCCATTCGCTCTCCTGAAGGCTCCCAGGGACCAACGGCGGCTGCTCCTCTTGGTTTTCCTGCAGAGATCTCTGCTGGTCCCTGGGGTGGTAATACTTTGTTCTGCATGCTGATGATATGTAGGGGAGCGCAGCTAATCCAGGCCATCCTGGAGGAGAGCATATTTATGTCTGGTGTTTGCGGTTCTGGGGTTCTGGTTTCAGACGTCCCAAACTCAAAACGATTTTCTGTTTTCTGAATCCTGAAAGGAGACATGGAGCCTGCATGTTCAAAGGTGTCTTGGGGACAGTTGGCAGGGCTGCCATTTGGATGCACTGGTTGTACTATGCATGCCCCTAGGAAGACTAATTTCACACTATAGACATGGCAGGTCTAAATTTCTAGTAGCAGCGTGTCCTGTTTTCAAAACATCAGTATTCTGTGACAAATTTCCAGCTGGCGACATTAAAGGATCTCTGGGGAGAGACACCTTTTCCTAGGTGGCATGAAGGAGACACATTATAGTGGTGGCCCTGAGGAATATCAGATCTGAAAGGGTTTTGACAGAGGACAGGCCCAATTCTGCACTTGTTAAGACTTGGCTTGCAAATAATACAAACTCAAGTCCAACTGGCTAAAGTCAAAAGGGAACTAATCATCAGAATGCAAGAATGAAGATGACCCTGGAACTCGGGAACATAATGGATCCAGGGAGACTGACGTGGCCAGGACCTACCTCTGTCTCTCTTTACTTTTTGCTCCTTTCACTGCATCTGCGATCTGCCTTCTTCTCATCTTACGCTGCATGATCAGGGTTCATCAGCCAGCAGAGAAACTGACATCTTGCACAACCCACTGTTAAAATTCTTGGGGATAGGTTAAAAAAAATTAAGATGTATTATCTACATGTACCAACTCCCCATGGTGAATGCAATCAATATGTACTGTAAACATGTGCTCATAAAAATTTTTAAAATCCTGGGGAGATGTAATTGGTTCAGTTTTGATCACATCAATCACATGGCTGGTGTGTGTGTGTGTGTGTGCGCGTGCGTGCGTGTGTCCATAAACATGACAACACAGTGGATACTGTGGGTGAGGCAGGCGGGAGGTAATGGTCACACACCCTCAGGGAAGCATCACAAAGAGAACAGATAGAAAAGGCTTGTCACCAGTGACACACCAGTCTACAGAAGAGACTGGAATGAAATGTAAACATCGGTGACCAAACTTCTGTACGCTTTACAGTCCTACACTGCTCCCTCTCATCAGAAAGCAGTGACTTTATCGATACCATTTTTCATTTGAAGGTAAAAATAATTAACCAAAATCTAATATGAAAAATTTTCAGCTCTTCCAGAAGAGGCAAATGGAGAAATGAGGACATATAGAGAAAGCCACTGTAGAAATACTCAGGACGTTTCCTGAGCCACCAAATAAATATTTTCATAGCTTCCAGGGCTGGTGCCAAAGATATTTCAAAGATGTGCCAAAGATGTTTCAGCATTGGCCTCACTGTACAGCGGATAGGTGTGCTCGGGTGAAGTTCTCATGCGGCCCCACAGGGACATCCTGTGAGGTTGGTACTATCTTTACAGGTTGGACAACTAAGCCTTAAATAAGATAGTGCCTTTTCCAAAGTAGTCTGTGAATTAAAAAATTATTTATTGATTCATTTGACAGGATCTCGGTAGTGCAGGCTCGGTAGTGCAGGCTGGCCTCGAACTCGCGGCGATCCTCCGCCTCAGCCTCCTAAGTGCTGGGATTACAGGTGTCTGCCACCACGCCCGGCTGTGAACAAATTTCTATCAATGAAATGCTTGACAAAGTGCTTCATGAATACATTAACAAATTGCCTTCAGACCTTCTGTGTTGAAACGCCCCCTGCGCCTTACGCTAGATGACATCACCACCAATCACCACGGCGTTCCCAGCCAACGTCCACTTTTAGAATCTATTTGGGCATGCGTGTGGCGCAGGGCGTTCGAGCCTGAGCGCTTGATGGTTCGGTCAATTGTCTTACCGCCTGCCGCCCCGGGCGCCTTTGTTTTTGAGACACGGCTCATTGTGTAGTTTTGGCTGGCCTCGAACTCACGGCAACGCTCCCACCCCTTCCTTCCAGGTTCCAGGCGTGCGCCACCGTGCCGACCTCTCATCGGGCTTTTATCCCTTCAGCTTCCGAGATCTCGCGAGACTTGCCAGGTCTCCTCCCTCCTCCGCCCCCGTGCGCCTGCGCAGATCTTTCAAAGCCGAAGGTTGCATTTGGAGGAAGTGGCTGCGTGGTCCCGTGACCGGGCTACCGTTACTACTTTTCAGAAGCTTTTCTCGGCCGCTTGCCGGGACCCTCTGCCGCCAAGATGCCTCGAATTATGATCAAAGGGGGCGTGTGGCGGAATACTGAGGTGAGTCTCCCTTTCCCGCCGCCCGCTGTCTTCCACCCCCTGGATGTTTTGTGCGCACGCGCGCTGAGGTCGAGACGGGAGGCGAGGAGGACGCTCTCAGGGTCGGCTGAGACACGTCAGGGCCGACCCGGGCCGGAGCTGGGCATCTCTGGACGGGGACTGGGCTGCCGCTGCCAGGGCTCCCGCTCCGTGCTCGCTGCCAGGCCCTTGGCGAACATTTATTGAATTATGGAGCACGCGCCCCCAACCTCCCTCGGAGGAGCTCCCAGTTGGTGGGGAGATGGACCTCACTGGGAGTTGATTTTTCTGGGGCCCCAACCTCTCTCAGCTGGAGTCTTGTGCCCCTCGCGGTCCCCCCCCCCCCAAAAAAAAGTTAAGGTGGCCAGAAAGTTTTAATTGACTGTCGCAGAAGAGAAGCGGCTTGAGTGTCAGTCTCGAAGAGCCCGTTGATGCCCGCATCCCTGTTCACATTCGCAATGCACAACCCTTCTCCCCTCTGCCCTTCGACAGATCCCAGAGGCCGCCTCTTCTGTCACTGCGCCATTGCTTGGGCCAAGGCTAGACGGGACAAAACGCCTATGATAGTGTTTACTTCTAAAAGATGTTTTGGATAATGCCATGGGCTAGCTGAGAGATGTAAATTGGAAATCAGATTTTAGTGCATATTGTATTCAGAGTGCACTGAATTATTAGTTTCTGAACTATATATTATCTTTAGAAGTTCAGTCTTTTTACGTCTTACGCTTTCTTGGATTATCTTTTTAAAAATTTTTAATTTGTTTTTTGTCTTTTTGAGACAGGGTCTCGCTATGCAGTTCAGGCGGGCCTTGAGCTCACTTTGTAGCCCAGGCTGGCCTCGAACTTGCAAAGATCCTCCTGCCTCAGCCTCCCTAGTGCTGGGCTTACAGGTGTGCCCCCCCCAATGGATTATCTTTCTGTTGCTCGGTTTCCTGATAATCCTTTCAACAGAGTTTATTTTTTTGTTTTTGTTTTTTCTTCCGGTACCAGGAATCGAACTCACGACCTTGCGCTTGGCAGGCAGATGCTTTGCCACTGAGCTAAATCCCCAGCCCCTAAACAGAGTTTAGAAACATATCTCGGAATATTTGCCTGTTCACCTTGTAAAAGTTAGTTGTACCCAGTGGTTTAAGTTTCTTAACCCCTCAAAGCCTCGGTTCCTTCATTTTTCTAAAGGAGATAATACCTGCCTCTTTTGCGTGACCAGTTGAGTTAGTACATTTGGAACAGAGTTGGGCACACAGCAGGCTTTCAGTGAGTGCTAGTTGCTTTATCCGCTGTCAGCACTGCAAGAGGACCAAGTCTTCTACTCCTAGAGCCTAGGATAGTAACTGACGTGAAGGAGGTTGCTTGGTAGATGTTGGGAGTGAATTTAGTAGGATCGACACCTGCTGTGTGTACTTCGCTGCAGGTGTGTTGAAGTAGAGTTGAGTCACACTTGAAGGCTGTGAAACAACGGCCTCTGCTTGCAGGGAGAGCCAGGCCATTGCGGCTGGAGGAGAGAAGACTTTCCAGGGAAAGACAGATAACACAGAATCGTGTAACAGGAGGATTCCTGTGCACTTGTCAAAGCCCTGCAGTGACTTACTTACTTGTATCTCTGATGATGGGAGTGGGGTAGAGTGGAAAGGCTCAGCTACAGACTTGTAGCGCAGGTCCAGTGTGGAAAAAGTAAAATGTCTCAAGTCATTTATCCATGGGTTCATCCTCCCTGTTGTATGTGGCTAGTGTGCCAGTCTTTCCTGCGACTGGTGCGTTTTACCTTATTTGGGTGCCTTGGTGAAATAGTAGTTAGATACTGGGATAGACTGGAAGAGCTGGTTGGTGAGGTGGGGAAGAGATACTTAATTTTTAGGTTAGACCTAGGATGTGGATTCTTGGGTCATGGTGGGGGTGAAGAGGGTGCAGAAGAAATGCCCTGCATAACCAGACTCCCACATTACTTCTTGAAGCCTGGATGTGTCCTACTTGATTCTCTTTCCTCGAGCACAGAAGTCCTGGTTCAAGGTAGGTTTTCAGGAGGTGTGTTTTAAATGACTGTATAAATGAATGAGCTGTACCTTTTTGAAGAGAATCATACGTACATATTGGGGAATACTTTTTGTTAATCTCCACCATGAAGTTGTGTTTCTCAGTTGGGCTGTTTCCACTTCCAATTTATTGAAGCATATATATGTAAGAGAGGATAAGATACCCCTCTAAGGGATTTCTTACTGTTTTTTTTTTTACATTTTGCTGATTCTTGCTGTTTATCATGATAGTCAATGGAGTTTTTATACTATTTTTTAACACTTATGTATGTGTCTATGTATATGTGTATGTCTTTATTTTTAAAATTTTTTTTTTTTTTGGTACCGGGAATCTAACTCTGGACCTTGTGCTTGCCAGGCAGGCGCTTATGCCGCTGAGCTATATCCCCAGCCTCTATGTCTTTATTTTTACACCAGCCTTATTAGAGTTAAACTTTATCTTTTCTCATGTGGAATTGTGCGATTGACTGTATTTTTTTCTTTAATAATTCATTTAGGATGAGATTCTGAAAGCAGCGGTAATGAAATATGGGAAAAACCAGTGGTCTAGGATTGCCTCTCTGCTGCATAGGAAATCAGCAAAGCAATGCAAAGCCAGATGGTATGTACCAGTTAATAAGTGGAAAATAGCAAGCAACTTTGATTATGAGGAGAGAAACATCAGGTCTTTGAACTCTCTTGAAGAAAACAGGCATCATGATGTAATGGGAAGTAGGGAGGGGGAAAAGGGATTTAGACGCAGCTGTTACTTGCTTCTGGCGTAATCTCTGGCAGGCCAGTTTTTAGTCCTTTTACCTTGCCCCTGGGTCCCCAATTAGGGAAAATCGTAGTTAGCACTAACTGATGAAGGTGGGAGGCTCCATCTAAATGAGTTGATGTGTGCTTTGTGGAGCATAACACCTTTCAGGGACAGATGGGTCCCATCTTGTAAATGGTTTGTGTTCCAAAAGTTTATAGATTGGTTAGTTCAGAACTTCTTTTAAGAGATGGTAAATAATGATTTAATTTTTAGGCAAGCTTACAGTATTGAATTTCCTCATAATAGAATTGAAATAATAGATATTTGCTACCGTAAAACAGCATAAGCCTACAGTGTTATCTTTTAAATCACAGGGTAGTGGACACATTAAACTATTTACATGTCTTCTTGGCACTAGCGGTCTGGCCTCAGCCCAAACCCATCTGCTGCTAGGGACATGCTTTGGTCTGTATAAAAGTGACCTAATTTCTTAGGCATCCTGATAGGGGAAAGGATCCATGTAGAGATTGAACTCTAAAGAGGAAGATGATTCTCTGCCTGAAGAAGTGGTTGTGATTTCTGTTACTCTGAGTGATGCTAAGCTCCTATTTGATCATTATGAGGGCTTACCCATGTCTTGTTTGCCAGCCTCTCATCCAGCTCAGTACTGCATGGAAAAGGTGGGTTGGGTAGACATTAGGAAGGACAGAGGATGCCACAGTAGTTTTATTTAAATTTAAAAACATGCCAAAGGAAAGCTTATAGTGCTGAAAAGCATTTAGTGAGTGTGAGTCAGATGTTTAAAGAAGTGAACCAAAGTGATGTAAGGATCAAAGCATGAGAAAGTACAGTAGTATGAAAATGAGAAATACTAAAAAATAGTAGACAGCATTGTCTTTTTCCAGATCATTTCAAAGCCTCTAGTAAAAGTGTAACATAAATACAAATAGTATTGAGAAGGCTTATGGTGTCTTTTTTTTTGTCTTTATGAGACAGAGTCTTGCCATGCAGTGCAGGCTGGCCTTGAGCTCACTTTGTAGCCCAGGCTGGTCTCAAACTCACAACGATCCTCTTGCCTCAGCCTCCCAAGTGCTGGGATTACAGGCGTGTGCCACCATGCCCGCCTCAACATTGCTAGTCTTGCATAATAGAAATTTAGTGGAATGTAGTGAGATGGAGAATATTGACTGGGAGAAGTTGAGCTACATAGTGAACATTTCTGTTGTCAGAAGGGACTGTGCTAGTAATTAAAGGATGAGAGCTGTGCTTCTCAGACAGTAGTGCTCTGAGCAGCATGTAAGCTGGATATCTGTACTAGGTGACTAATGAGTGCATTAAATTGTATCTTTTTATAGGTATGAGTGGCTGGATCCAAGCATTAAGAAGACAGAATGGTCCAGAGAAGAGGAGGAAAAACTCCTGCACTTGGCTAAATTGATGCCAACTCAGTGGAGGACCATTGCGCCAATCATTGGAAGAACAGCGGCGCAGTGCTTGGAGCACTATGAATTTCTCCTGTAAGTGAGTCTTCTAAAGCATGTTAAGATCAGAGTATACTTTAATGACGCTGAACAAACATTTAGCATTTCGTGTCTTTAAATATTTAATTACAGCTGTAACTAAAACCAGAGGAGCTAAAGCTGTTGGATTGTATATTTCATATATCATATGGCTGATAAAATTATGTTTTCTGTTATATATGGCTTTTTTTTTTTCTGGTGCCAGTATTGAGGATTGAACCCAGGACCTTTGCACTACGTTACATCTTGAGTCCTTTTTATTTTATATTTGAAATAGGGTCTTGCTAAGTTACTAAATTGTCCAGGCTGGGCTGCAACTTGGAATCCTGCCTTACATACTTTTTAAAAATTAATTTAAAAAAGTCTACAAGTCATATGTGGTCATGCTAGAAAATCTAGGGAAACGAATCCTACATTGTTGGTGGGAATGTAAGCTAGTACCCCCACTATGGGAATCAGTGTGGAGAGTCCCAAGAAACTAAAAATAGAAATTCCATTGAATCCATCTATTCTCCTTCTAGGTTTCCTATCCAAAGAGTTAAAGACATCATATTACAGTGATGCATGCCCATGTTTATAGCGGCACAATTCAAAATAGCTAAACCTTAGAAAGAGCCTTTATGCTCATCTGCAAATGAATGGATAAAGTTTGTACACAGTGGACTACTACTCTGCCCTACAGGATAAATTTGAGTTGTTTGTAGCAGAATGGATGCACTTTGAGAATATAAGGTTAAATGAAATAAATCAGGCATGCAATCTTTTTTTTTTTTTTTTTTTGGTTTTTCTCCGGTACCGGGAACCGAACTCACGACCTTGCGCTTGCCAGGCAGGTGCTTTGCCGATGAGCTAAATCCCCAGCCCCCAGGCATGCAATCTTAAATATCACATGGTTTCCCTTACATGAGAAAGCTAACATAAATAAATTAAAGAGCAAAATAAAAGAAGAGAGATAGATGGGAAGGGGATAAGAGATGAGGGAGTGGAGGAGAAGGGAAACAAAAAGAATTAAGGTGTATCGTGTACATGTATCAGCTCCCCAACAATGAATGTAATCATTATGTACCATAAACATACTAATAAGTATAAAAATTTAAAAAAAATTTTGGGGAAGAAATAGTATGAGAAGAAATAAAAGTGACTGATAACCACACTGCTGAGAATTAACTGTTAGAACATTTTGGTTCTTTGCTAGTGGTGTTTTTATTTGTATGGTTGTGTGGCATTTGTGATTAAGGAGCTTCTTAGGTCATGTTTTGTACTGAATGGAAGCACTTGATAAAATTAGAATTTTAATACTATTTCTTCCTGATGATGCATTAAGAAGTGCTTTGTTTGGTTAATACCTAGCTCTTGAATTTGTGGGGGAAAAACATGGCCACAGCTAAGAAAGTTGGTAATTCTGATAATAAATGGGACGACACTGTGATGACCTCATCTGGGTTTTTTTCTAGGGACAAAACTGCCCAAAGAGACAATGAAGAGGAAACCACAGACGATCCACGAAAACTTAAACCTGGAGAAATAGATCCAAATCCAGAGACAAAACCAGCGCGGCCTGATCCAATTGATATGGATGAGGGTGAGTGGACAAGGGATCTTGTGAGGAATCTGGTTTGTAACTGTGGACTGCTCCTGTCTCTTTCACACTTTTTTAGCTCTTTCCTGAGTACTGACATTGTAGAATCCCAAGTCTATCCACATTTGTTCCAAATGTGTCCAGTTTCTGTTAGAGAGTAGTCACCCTTTTTTTAATCTCATTTTTTTTAGTTTACACAATAAATTAAGTAGTAGCCTAATAGACTAGTATTGGGTAGGTTTTTGGAAGCAGCAGCTACTGTTTCTCATTCCTGTTCCACAAAGACAGGTAGGAAGTCAGGCTATTGGACCTTAGTCCTTCTTTGACTTGAAGGTGGTCTTGTACTCTCTGAGAAGGCAACCCTGCAGATTTGTGAGGGAGGCTTATGAGTCTGTGAGGCACTGAAATAAGAACCAGAGAAAGTGGGTTTTATTTATTTATTTTTTGTTTGTTTCTTGAGACATTCTCCTCCACTGCTATGTAGTTTAGGCTGGCCTTGAACTCACTGTGTAGCCCAGGCTGGCCTAAAATCTCATGGCGATCCTCCTACCTCAGACTCCTGAGTGCTGGGATTACAGGTGTGCGCCACCATGAATGGCTGAGAAAGAGGACTTTGGATCTAGGTCTGTCCTCATTAGGTGAGTCCTACAGTGTCTCTCAGCTTTGATGCCTTTCTTGCCAGATAGACAGTAGTATCTACTTTGCCTCACAGGGTTGTTGTAAGCTCTCAACAAACATTTGCTGAGTTTTAAGTTGTAAAAATTTAAAATAGTAGTTTCCAAAAACAGACTGTGACTAGGCTGGCCACATGATTTTCCCCTGGAGAATTCTTAAAACACGTTCCAGTGCGTTCCCTGGAGATACGGAGGAGGCCTCCTCATGTAGAAATTGTGCTGAGGTGTCAGCACTGGCATTTACGATTCTTTTCTAAAGAGACGTGGAAGTTGTATTGGCAGAGGGAGAGTTCTGAGGGGGAATGTAGCTAATGGAGACTAGCAATTCCTTCAGAATTAGTTTTTACATTATATTGTGTCAGTTGATGAAAATGAAAGAGGTGATACAGCTCCATTTCATAAATTCTTGCTAGGTGTCTTCATATTTCGTTTTACTTAGCTCCGCTCAGCGTCACTGTGAAGTGGGGATTGTTATTCCAAGTATACAGGGGAGCATGCTCAAAGAGAATAAATAAGTGGCTAAGGTCGCCTAGCTAGCAAGCAGTGGGCCTGGTTTTTAATCCAGGCTTCTCTGACTTCAAAAGCCAAGGTATTTACATTATGCTACACCATTTAATGAGCGTATTTCTCTCATTTTAAGCACTGGGGTATCTTTCTTATAGTCCTTGCTTATTTGGAGAGGAACTTAGTTTTTCTTTTTTGCAGATGAACTTGAGATGCTTTCTGAAGCTAGAGCCCGCCTGGCGAACACCCAAGGGAAGAAGGCCAAGAGGAAAGCAAGAGAGAAACAGTTGGAAGAAGCAAGGTATGGTTTTTCCTTTCTGTGTTCAACAATTAGTGGATGCATCCATTAGCCCACTGAAATGGTGCGATTTATCAGTGTTGTTTGGTGAATAAAAATTTCAGTTGTCCAGTTCCATTGGCTAATATTCCTTAGCTTTTTACTCTGAAAAAATCTTGCATTTTTTTTTTTTTTTTTTTTACCCTAAACCATTTGAGACATGACCGATGCAATGCATACTTTACTTATCCTGTATGTCGGGTTTGTTCTTTTAGCATAGCAGAGCTTCATCTGTTGAGGCATCTTAGGGTGAAGTGTCTGGAAGACACAAGGCTGTGTGACTGTGTGACAGCCAGTGGGTTACCCTTTTTCATGGTTAGTATTGGGCAGACGCTGCTGTAAAACAGGAATCTCTACTGAACAGAGTATGTTAATGAGCCTTCAAACAAGTTTTAGGCTCTCATAGAAATCTTCATTTAAAAAGTGAGTTAGTGCATCTTAGTCATTTTCTTTTACCCAGGATTTTCTCTGCTTTATTCTTACTTCCCTTTATTCTTACAACACCATGGTTGAGGTATCACTTTGGTGGCCCAGAGACCAAGATGGAGTTCATAATGAGACCATCTGAATTATCAGCTCATTTGCTTTTGGGATGCAGACAGTGGAAGAATCCCACAGCCAGCCCAGTGCCTTTTGTGAAGAAGTGCTTCTTGATGTGTAGCATTGTGTTGGAATTGAAATGCCATGTCCTGGGGTGGAGAGCCTCCCATGTCTGAGGGTGCTTGTTGGCATAGCTGGCCAATCCCCAGTGAGGAGTGGTTAGCTTTTGAGGGGAAGATGACTGGCCTGCAAGACCAAACAGATACCAGGAGGAGGTGCTAAGTTTTCTACCCAGTCTCAGCCACCTTTCAATTCTGGACATTACTTAGGGTTAAGTAGCTCTTCCATTTTTATCCCGGGTTGTTTGAATATTCAGTTTTTAACTATGTAGATGGATCTAGTGCTATAGCAGATGCTTTTGGAAAAATCTCCCAATTTTGGCCAGCATTGATTGTTTTTTTTCTTCCCCCGGTACTGGGAATCAAACTCACGACCTTGCGCTTGCCAGGCAGGCGCTGTGCTGCTGAGCTAAATCCCCAGCCCCCAGCACTGATTCTTTTATGCACATTTTTGGTTTTAATTTATCTTATAATTTCTTGTAGATTTTCTTGTGCAGTTTACATATCTTTGTGCCACTATGCCTGGCCTTCTTCATATTTTGATAACATTTCTTCTTATTAAAATTATAGTGTCATAGGAAACTACAAAGAAAAAAGGGAAAATTAAACAAGATTCCACCCTGCAGTGATTATCATTGTTAAAATTCATGGATGGGTGCATATGTGTGTAATTTTTGTGTGTTACTCTAACATGTGAACTTTGAACATTTTTTTACAGAGCTCTATGTCTTAGGCCTCTTACAGAGTAAATTTCCAGCCTTACTAAAGGTTGTACAGGTAGCTCTGTAGTATCTTAAAGCTATGTTATAAATTCTTTTAAATTACATAATGTCTTAGCAGTGGATGTTTAGTTTGTGTCCACCCCGTATTAGAGCAGTGTGTGGTAAGCAGTGTTCCGGTTCAGTTCTTGATCATGTTCTGATTTTTTTTTTTGTCTTTTTGAGACAGGGTCTCGCTATGCAGTTCAGGCTGGTCTTGAGCTTACTTTGTAGCCCAGGCTGGTCTCGAACTCACAACGATCCTCCTGCCTCAGCCTCCCTAGTGCTGGGATTATAGGTGTGCGCCACCGTGCCCAGCCGTGTTCTGATTTATTTTATCAGGGTAAAGGCTGAGGAGTGAAATACCTGGCTTAAAAAAACTTGAGGAACTTCAGGCTTTTAATGTGTAATGTGTAAGCTTCTCTTTGGGGAAAGTTACCCTGTTGTAGAAGACTGCCCACATTTTGTACCTTTGCCAGTGAAACAAAAAAATTGATATTAATTAGAAGTGCATAAATGATTCTTGCTAATGTAGTTGTGCTTCAAAAATTACTAAATAAAACTCATTTTTATTTTGTCATTTTAGTTACTTCTTTTTTTTTTTTTAATTGTAATACTTGGGATTGAACCCAGGGACTCCTGAATGATAGGCAAGCATTTTTCCACTGAGCGACAGCCCTGTTCTTTTTTGTTTTTTTTTTCCTCCGGTACCGGGAACCGAACTCACGACCTTGCGCTTGCCAGGCAGGCGCTTTTGCCGCTGAGCTAAATCCCCAGCCCCTGTTCTTTTTATATTTTTGTGACGGTCTTGGTATGTTGCCCAGGTTGGCTTTGAACTTGTGATCCTCCCGTCTCAGCCTCCAGGCATGTGCCACTGGGTCTTACTATAATTTTCTTTTATGAACTGTTTATTTTCCTTTTTTAAAATGGCGGCACACTTGGCATAGATTCTTTACTGTATTTGTAATACTGCAAAAAGATTTCCCTATTATTTGCCTTTTAATTTCATTATTTTTTATAGTGCTTAATACTTAAAAATTTGTCTCAAAGCAGATGATCTTTTCCTTTGCTGTTTATTTAATTTATATTTATGAAGTACATTCTCATCCAGAAATAACATACAAATTTAGTCACAGTTCCTCCTAGTTTTTCATTTTGCTTTATTTGTGTATTCGTGTGCTTTTGAGTGAAAACTGGAATTTATTTTGATGAATGGTGTGAAGAGGGGTTTATATTTCTTTCCTATATACCCAAATAGTTCCCTTCACTCAGGCCTGATCCTTCCTTGCCCCAGGGAGAGACAGGGTAATGATTTCCCACGTGATGTTGCAGTCATTCTCTTTTCTTCAGGCGTCTTGCTGCCCTCCAGAAACGAAGAGAACTTCGAGCAGCTGGCATAGAAATTCAGAAGAAAAGAAAAAAAAAGAGAGGAGTTGACTATAATGCTGAAATCCCATTTGAAAAGAAGCCTGCCCTTGGTTTTTATGACACTTCTGAGGAAAACTACCAGGCCCTGGATGCAGATTTCAGGAAATTACGACAGCAGGACCTTGATGGAGAGTTGAGATCGTAAGTTGGCCTTTCTGACTTTGGAAATGGACAGGTACGGGAAGAATCCTGTGAAGGGCCAAGCGTTGCTGTTGTCAGAGCCAAATTTTATTACTCAGCTTGAACATGGCTTGTTTATGCTTTTATTTATTTAATGGGTTCGCCTTCCTGAGCATGCCTGGTGTGACCCTTGGTGTTATGTTTTTATTTTTTATTTTATTCTTTGTCTTTTTGAGAGAGGGTCTTGCTGTGCTGTTCAGGCTGGCCTTGAGCTCACTTTGTAGCCCAGGCTGGCGAATTTGCGATAATCCTCCTGCCTCAGCCTCCCAAGTGCTGGGATCACAGGCGTGCGCCACCACACTCAGCTCTGGTATTATGTTTTTAGCATGTGGTCCTGTGTATGGCTCTAGAACAGTCTTGTGGGCACTTTGTTCCTTGAGGCACATCTTCACATTCATGTACATCTCTGAACAAGTTGATGATTGTGAGGAAGTCTGTCGAAATCTACTCGGTTCTTTGTGGATTTTTTTTTTTTATTTTAAAGAGTAAAAGAAGGATAACATAGTAATGGGGGGGCTTACCAAATTACAGACAAGGTAGTAGGAAATTATCAATGCTTATTGTTTTGCGTATTGTTATCTAAAAGACAGTCTCTCAGGAAAACAAATAGACAAATAATAGTGAGTTAGAGACAAAAGAGATAGGAGATTATCAATAGTTGTTGTACTATACTTTGGTATCTTCTAAGTGGCTTCTAAAGAAAATAAATAAAGCTATACCTGAGTGACCAATTGAATAATCCTTAACTATTCTCAATGGTTGTTGTAAGAAACACATAATAATAAACATACATCCATTTACGAGATAGCATAGGAGCAATACAAACGTTAGAGAGTTATGGACAGATTAGTAGGAAAATATCAGTGGCTGCTGTAATACATGGTGGTATCTTCAAAGTGGTTTCTCAGGAAGACAGAGATATGCAAGAAGGATCTAACAAGTAGTTACAGCCTAACGGTTGTCAAAAATAGCGGATTTTTTTTTTTTTTTTTGAGAGGGTTTCACTATGCAGTTCAGGTTGGCCTAGAGCTCATTTTGTAGCCCAGGCTGGCCTTGAACTTGCAGTGATCCTCTTGCCTCAGCCTCCCGAGTGCTGGGATTATGGTGTGTGTCACCATGCCTGGCTATGTGGATTTTTTAGTGAAAAATTTTACCTTGTTTTTATTTAAATTAAAAGAAAAAAATACCAATGCATTTTTTTTTTTTTTTTAACTTGGTGAGGATAAGTAGTTGTATTTACTGATGTTTGTGTCTGACAGTCGAGAGAATTTGGCCATTTTTAGAGATTTTTAGTTTCTTTTAATCTTGTGTTTGCATATTGTATGGAGAACTTATGGCTGCCAAGAAATTTTTTTAGTTTGCTTCTGTTTTGACCTTCCATTTATGCTGGCACCAGATGGGTTTCAGGCACTGTGTAAAATAGCATTTTCTTGAATGTATACCACTGTGTGTACTTCTCAAATTATGATCTTGCTTTAGGTAAGCTCTAGTATATAGAGATCAAAGAGGCAGACTAGGTGATATGACAAAATATACTGTGAAATATTTGTATTTTAAAAAGTTTATATATAGTCCCCTTTCTTCAAACATACTTATCCCATTCTTCTCACCACTTTCTGAACCAGTTCTGGAAGTCCTCTGTGTGAATGTCTTTATGAGGTATAATAAAAAGTGTTTAAAAACAGTAAAGTGCATGCTGCTGTGTGCCAAGTAAGGGAAAGACAGCCTTGTGAAAATACGATGCTGTATCCTCATCCACTGTGCTCACTGGATCTGCTACTGTGCAACTTCTGGCTCAGTGGCCATGAAAAGTAAAGGTTTTGAATTGATTCATGGCATGGAGGCAGCCACAACAGCGCCTCTAAAGACACTCAGGAAAGAGGACTTCAGAACTGCTGCAGAAATGGGATCATGTGCAGGAACAGTGGGGTAACTGTGTTTCAAGTGAGGGGCAGAATTGAGGGCGGTGTGTTGCTTACTGTAATACATTTTTAAATTTAAACATTTACTGTGTTTTTCAATCACGCCTTGTAGTTATTTGGAAGGAGTAGACTAGCTAGGGGAAGGGAAGACAGGCAGAAGGGGTAAAGGTTTTTCTAGAGCTTTGCAAGACTACCTTTAGGTTTCCCTAACAACCTCTGGGTATCATTCGTCAATACTACCTTTGAAAAATGTGCATTTTAAAAGTCCTAACAATTTAATCACAGTTTTAAGGAGAAATTTCAAAGGTCACAATGTGTTTTAGTTCCGACTCCTTCATATATGTGTTTCTTTTCTGGCATGTTCATCTTTAGCTTTTTCCTATGTGCATACGTGTTTCTGTATCAATGTACAATCCCAATGCAGGTAGGAGCTGTTTTATGTTTTCTTTTGATATTACATGCTGCATTTTGTTTATCACAACCTTTGTAGTTTTATGATTTAATTTTTATACCTGCATTGATGTACCCTGTTTTCTTAATAATGCTATTCTAAGCTTGCATTCTTAAATATAGTAAGTAATGGTACAGCAAACAGCTTAATATTGTCTTTTTAAAGTTATTTTCTTAGAAATAGGATTTTTTTTCAGGGGTGTTTTAATGTGACTGTTAGTGTTATTGTCTGTGTGTAATGTTAAAAACCTCTTCCTTGTCCATGACAGTGAAAAAGAAGGAAGAGATAGAAAAAAAGACAAACAGCATTTGAAGCGGAAAAAGGAATCTGATTTACCATCAGCTATTCTCCAAACTAGTGGTGTTTCTGAATTTACTAAAAAGAGAAGCAAACTAGTACTTCCTGCTCCTCAGGTAATCTGATAAAAGCAGTTACTGCCATTGTTTGAATTTGTATGCTTATCTCATATATTCAGCGAATGTATGAAGGCCCATGTGTCAGTGTTGTGCTTGTGACCTTAAGAAATTCACACATGAAAATAGCTTCAAGTAACCACTTCTGTGTATGAGTGATTGTATCAGGTCTTACGCTCCCTGTGACAGTGTGTGTGGTAAGTCAGTGTCAGCACTCAGCAGTTTGTCCGTGGGTTCGGCTCCTCGTTTGTACCGGATCAGGATGGGTGTGGTTGGCTGTATGGACCTTTGTGGCTTTTTTTCAGGGAACACTGTGTTGTGTCATGCTTTTCTTTTTGAGATAACAGCTATAAAAGGGAGTTGTGGAGAAGAGAAATGGAAACATCCTACTCGAGCTTAGTATAGGCTCTAGTCCTTTGAGTTACAGTTGGTCAGAAATGGAGAAACTGAGTCTTGTTTTAAGGAATACAGCACGGTAGGTGTGGACAGGTGTAGTGCAATGAGGAAAGGGCTGAGGAGTGTGGGAGAGCTGCGCTCCACAGGTGGATGCATTGGCTCCATCCACACAGATGCGTGGATGAGCAGAAGTGAATGTGGTTTTGGGCTGTACTTCTAGTAATGATATTTCTTGATTGAAGTTTATTTATGGTTTTGTTTTGTTTTTCCTTTTTTTGTGTGTGTGATGCTGGGCGTTGAACCCAGGGCCTTTCCACAAGCTATATCCCTAGCCCTTTTTAATTTTTATTTCGAGATAAGGTCTGGTTAAGTTACTAAATTGCACAGGCTGTGCTCAAACTTGGAATCCTCCTGCCTCAGCTTTCTACTGTCCCGGTTGTCTTAGTTACTTCTCTTGTTGCTGAGACAAAATACGTGACAGTCCAAGTTAAAGGAGGAAAGCTTTATTTAGCTCAGTTTGTAGAAGTTTTAGTCCATAATTGGCAGATTCTGAGGCAGGGTGGCATTGCAGAGGAGAAACGGTTTATGGTAGGCAGAAGATAGCAAAGCAACAAGGGATGACCACAACTCTTTCTGTTCCTTATATTTTGTCCAGGCTGCTTAGGGTGAGTAGCACTCACTCTTAATCCTGGTGCTGTCGATCCTACCATTGTACCATGAATCAATTTCAGCATCACACACTTTAGATCCAGCCACCTCTGAAAAATCCCCACCTATGACTGCATGAGGTTTTGGGGGACATCTAAATGCAAGCCATAACAGCCGAGTTTACATGCCTGGATGTGATTTTTTTCTTTTCTTAATACTCCTTAGGATATTTATCTTGGTAAAATTACTAAAGTAACAGAAGATTTTCTAAGGGATCTTGTGGCTCGGTATACTCTAAAGTGATATTTTAATTGGTTTTCACTCTTTTTCTTCCTGTGTTGATAGTTTTGTACAGACTATTATTTTGTGTTTTGGTATTTTAATGTATTGTTTTGAAATGATTTCAATATGAAATGAGGCCATTTTAGCTTAGTTTACATCATATATGAATTTTTTCCCACACTATGTAGGAGAAGCTTTTTGAAATTTTATTGTGGAAATTTTCAGAGCCTTGGAAAGTAAGGAGAGTAGCACAGTGAACCTTGTGTGCTCATCACACAGCTTCAGGACTCATATGCAAATTTGAATATGCATATTTTAGAATATGCAAATTTGAAACTCTGTTGGTTCTCAGTTAAAGTAGTTTTTACTGTGAGCATCATGTTCTTCAGATTTCAGATGCCGAACTCCAGGAAGTGGTGAAAGTGGGCCAAGCCAGTGAAATCGCCCGGCAGACTGCTGAGGAGTCTGGCATCACAAACTCTGCTTCCAGTACTCTCCTGTCTGAGTACAATGTCACCAACAACAGCATTGCCCTTAGGACACCCCGGACACCGGCCTCCCAGGACAGAATCCTGCAGGTACGGCATCACATACAGTAGTAGCGTGAACTTTTGCTTTAACATTCTTCACAGTGTCATGAAGGAGAGCAGAGTGGCTTGGTTATATTTTTCCTAGGGCCTGCAGTTTCAAACTGAATCAGGGCTGCACAGCTCTTAGAGCATTTTTGTAGTAGAGAAGCAAATCAGCAGATTGAGTAATTAAGTATCTTCATTTCTAAGTGTATTAATTCATAACATTTTGAAGCCGGGTTTTCTATTGGCAGTAGCATTTTGTACCTGTTGGTAAAGCGACAGTTTCACATTGCTTAGTGATCCTGGAAAGACGGCAGTGTGTGTAGTCAGCGAGCTTTGGAATTCCCTTGCATTTCTGTCCTTGGCCTGACACAGTGAGCTGGCAGTGCATCTCTCTCCCTCCAGGTGTGTGAGGAGCTCTGTGCTCCTGCACTGTGTGCTAGGAGTGCATAACCCTGAAAGATGCCTTGGAGGATTTTTTTCCCCCCACCTCTCATTTCCTGCAGATAGTCAGGAAAGATACGCTGTCTTGGTTTTGTTATTTTATTCATGCTGTGGCTTATCTCCTTTTCTCTGGCAGAAAAATAGTTGCCCCCCACTTCTTTGCATAGTGCCATTTGAAAATGTTTGCAGTGTAATTATTGATCTTGAAAGTTCTAAGCAAAATCATGAAGCTGTTTTTATTTTTTTATTTTTAATTTTTTTTGGTACTGGGAATCAAATTCAGGACCTTGCGCTTGCCAAGCAGGTACTCTGTCACTGAGCTGGCACCTGAAGCTGTTTTTATTTTGGCAACAAATTACATCATTGGGAAATACAATGATCATTAAATAGAAATTGTGTTGTTTTTAATCCTCATACTGGTGACTGAATGACTGCTAGGCAGGCATTCTCCCACCAAACTGCCACACCCTTAATCCTTTTAAAAAGCTTTATCTTGAGACATATTCTATCAGAATGTTAGGTTGAGAGTAAGAAGGAATGTATTAAAATCTGCCATGGCTCAGTATTCATTTTCTCTCTTGGTTTTCATGAGAAAATGTGAAGAATGCGTCCTGCTTCAGAATTTGTATAGTAGGACTGGGAGAGAAGGTTCTGGTAACCTGTCTGAAATTATTAAACACAGCTCTTTGCCTTCTTGCCAATCAGGAAGCTCAGAACCTCATGGCCTTGACCAATGTGGATACCCCATTAAAAGGAGGACTGAACACCCCGTTGCATGAGAGCGACTTCTCAGGTGTGACTCCACAGCGGCAAGTTGTTCAGACCCCAAACACGGTTCTCTCTACCCCATTCAGGTATTGTAAAAATGAGTGTGCTTTATATTTTACAAAAACTTGAATCCAAGAGCGTGGACAGCATGTTTGAACATTCAGAAAAGATGGAAGAATGGTAAAGTGAACATTCATCTACCCATGATTGTTAATAGTGTGCTTTGTTCATGTTATCACATATCCATCCATTAAGCCATCTTAGTTTTTAAGGCACTTCAAAGGACTTTGCAGATACCAGTTTTCATGTCTACACATTCCAGATGCTATCATTAACTAGAGCTTAGTATTTATTTGCATTTCTTTTGTTTTAAGCTGCTTTCTTGAAAGAAGAATGTTTAAGATACAAATGTTATAGAAGCAAGTTGTATTAAAGTGGAATTTTAGCTTTAAAGGCCGATTATTGGGATTTAAGCATAAGAGTAAGTGCTCCTGCAGGTCTAGTATAGCAGGGCTTTACATGCCAGAGAATCAAGCAGCCCTGGCAGCCACTCCATTTTTGGTAGTGGGTATTGAATCCAGGTCCTTGTCATGCTTAGCAGGCACTCTACCCCAATCTACATCCCTAGCCCTTTTAAATTTTTAGACAGGGTCTTGCCAAGTTATGGGGCAGGGACCATGTCTTACATGATAACACCCTACTTGTTGGGAACAGCTGTCTGGCAGAACCACCAGTCTGGAACACAGCCACCATATAGGAGTAAGCAACAGCCACTGCAACAAAGTCTTTGACCGATTAAAATAAAAGTTGCTGAAAATTCTTCCTGGGGACTTTATTGTTGGAGAGTCTGTAGCCCTCGGCCTATTCGTAGTGGATGTGATTGTGCACTTCGATGATGTGGCAGGAATGAGTGGACACGGTAGGCTGCCGCTTGGCGAGGAAGGAGAAGAATGATAGGAGAGGCACACTGACCTCACCGGGAGTGTCAGTGTGGTCATTGGCCTTCCTGCCCACTGGCCATCCGTAGCCACCCTCACATATCCAGAAAGGGTTGAAATATTGGTGGACCTTGTTTAGGAAGGCAAGACGATGTCAAATATAATGACTATTAGAAGTCAATAAAACATTGTGTGTAAGTACTACATTAGATAAACCAAACCTTTATTTTAAAAAACAATTACTATTTTGCCATACTGGGGATTGAACTCAAACCTTTTTTTTTTTCTTTTTTCTTTCTTGGTACCAGGAATTGAACTCAGGGCCTCATGCTTCCTAGGCAGGTGCTATGCCACTGAGCTACATCCCTGGCTCTCAAACCATTATTTTTAACTAGAGTACTAACTTAAAAATAGACAGGCAGAATTTTTAGAATCTTTGTTTTTTCTTTATGTTCTGCATTCCCTGTAAAAAAATTTATATGAAAGACATTTGAAAGCACAACCCAAGTATAAATAACACCTTTATTCATTGGGATTTCTGTTATTGTAGGACTCCTTCGAATGGAGCAGAAGGGCTGACTCCTCGGAGTGGAACAACTCCCAAACAAGTGGTTAACTCTACCCCGGGTAGAACTCCGCTTAGAGATAAATTGAACATTAACCCTGAGGATGGGATGGCAGACTACAATGATCCCTCTTATGTGAAGCAGATGGTAAATGTCAATTTCCTTTCAGTACTCTTAGTTTTTTTTTTTTTTTTTTTTTTTTTTTTTTTGTATCGGGGGTTTTTTTGTGGGAGTATGGTCATCACTGAGCTATGTTCCCAGCCCTAAAAATTTTTTTAGTATTTCATGGGTACCAAGTGAATTCTTCCCCTAAGTACATATCTGTACATCCGT